GAAACAGAAAAGAAACTTATACTTAACAACAAAAAGAGATAGTTCAAATTTCTAGGGCAGGTAATGAAGAAAGAGGGGTTGGAAAATTTGATACTCACAGGGCAGACTGAAGGCATGCGGTACAGAGGAAATCAACGTATAACCTACCTAGCGTGGTTGAATAAACTGATTGTGGAACAAGGTTTAGGAGAGATAACAAAAAGACAACATTTATTAAGAGCTACAAAGGACAATGTTGTGAGGGAGAATATTTCCTTACAAGTTTGGACGCGGCCGTCGGACGAAAGACATGAAAATAGTCCTACATCAAGAGGAGTAGCAACAGGAGCAGTGGCAGCAGTAGTTTTTGCTGAAAACATTCATTCACGGCTAAACATTTTCTTCCTTAGTTTATATTCTACAATATACTTCCCTGTACCAAAAGGTAATAAAATTGTTGTTAAACCGATTCCGGTTTTCTACTGTTGTCTTTGACAACTCAGTTCCAACAGAAAGGAAATTCCGGAGAACCATGGTCGCAAACGTCTTGAAAGTTAGTCGGTTGTTTTTTTTTTTGTTTTTTTGTTTTTTTTTAGCGGCATATCAGCCTCTATGGGGTATTTAATACAGAAATCTAAATATTTTGTACGCAATATTTTTTGGAGATAATAATGGTTTTAGTGATACACGTATTACTAATTAACCTATAGCTGGGGGCGAGAAGAGGTGAATTCATACCCTTTTCTAGAATATTTGCTCGTATGTGGACATAAAAACCTCAACTGGAATTGGAACTCGGATATCCGGTTAACAATTCCGAACCATTATCCACTACACTATACGTATATCCAAAGTTACAGCACTTGGTATTTTCAAGCTGTTAACCATCTAGATATTGACCAAGCTCAATTTTGCTTAACTTCAGAGATCGTACTGGAACCGGTGTAAGCCACGTCCTGAAAGACAACAGCACATAGAAGAAGGAACAGAAGAAGCATCTTTCGGTGTTAGATAAAGTGGCCTATATATTCAGTTTCCATATATCCTATACTAAAAATGTTATAACTGATCAATCCACCGTTGGATTTCTTAAAATAAAACAAGGGATATCTTGGAATTTTCCACCATCGGAAAGCGTCCCAGAGTGAATATGGCGTTCTGGGGATACAAGTAAATAATACAAATGTTAGGAACAAAGCTTAGAAAGGGTTTCTTTTTTTTTTTTTCCTCTTGGGGTGGAGAAGATAAGTAATTTCTTGTTTATTAATTAATGTCAAATCACGTTATCCTTATCTTAGCAAACGTCCACGTGGCCTGTCTGTTCACAACCACCTCTCCTCACACAATCGGCCCTTGGCCTCTTCCGGATCTCTGTTGATAAAATTCGACAGTCTGACATTCAACCAATTTATATTAAATTTCAATCAGGCCCTCCTACATCTTTCTTTTTTTTTGTTGTTTTTCGTCGCTCCTTTATTTGACCTAGCCCAGATAGTTGTATACTACATATCGACACCACAATTTCGGTAAAATTCTTCTTCTTCTTCTTCTTCTTCTTCTTCTTCTTCTTCTTCTTCTTCTTCTTCTATGTGCTGCATCCCTTCAGGACGTAGGCGATCAAGGCTCTTCATAACTTTCTATCGCGTATGGCTCTTAGCAGTTCTTCTCCCCATGCTAAGGTTCCAGACCCCGTATTGCTATCCATTCACACATGGCTCGTTGCCTTCCCATATATCTTTGTCTTTAAAAATGTCCTGTGATGGTTAAGTTTTCCAAGCCCTCCTCCTTCATTATATGTCCAGAGAAATAGGTTCACATTAACATTTGATATCTTCATCGCTTCAAGATATACGCGATCATGGCTCTTCACAACTTCCTATCTCTTATGGCTCTTAGCAATTTTTCTTTCTTTACTAAGGCTCCTTCCACTTTCATTCCGCCATCCATCCACACAAACTCGTCAGCTAAGTGGCTTGCTGCCTTCCTCTATCACTCTTAACCTCAACAAGACCTGTGAGGGTTAAATTTTCCAAGCCCTCCTTCCTCATTCTATGTCCATAAAATTTTAGTTGTCTTTTCCTGATTCTGAGTATAAGTGTTCTTTCTGTTGTCATTTTCTTTAAGACTTCCTTGTTACTTACTCACTCTGTTCATGGAATTTACAGTATCCTTCTGTAGAACCATATTTCTGCTGCCTCCAGTTTTCTCCTTATCCAAAGCATTCACTGCTATATACATAATGATATCACATAGCAATCCAGCACTCTTTTCTTTTTTTCTAGAAAAAACCTTTTGGTTTCTCAGTCCCTTGCTTAGCTTTTGGGATGTTTCTTTCACTAGTCTGTTTGGATTTCAGTGTTGCATTTTCCATCCTCTGTTAAAACAATTCCCAGATATTTAAACTTCTGCATCTGCTTGAGGGTGACATCTCCAATTTGTAACTTGTATCTTGGGTTTTTTTTCTGTTGCTGATGACCATACTTTCTGTCTTCTTGCAGTTGATAGTTAATCCTTTTTTCTTGCTTTCAACTACTAACCTGCCTAGGAGGTCCTGCCATTTTCTTTTCAAGTCAGTCATCAACTCAGTGTCATCTGCATTTCTTATACTGTTAAGATTAAACTGACCGATAATAAATCCTGGTAAGGTTTCCAGTTCCCTTAGGATAATGGTGTTATAGAGGTTAAATAAATCTGGAAAGAAGATGTATCCTTGTCTCATGCCCCTTTTTATTTTTGTGTAGCTACTCCATTCATTTTCTACTCGTATGCAGGTGGTTTGTTCCCAGTATAACTTCTGTATTATTCTAATATCTTTTCCAAATAGATCTAGTTTTATGAGGAGCTCAAATAGATCCTTGTGCCATACCTTGTTAAATATATAAACATATAGCAGGTATTTAAATGAGTTTTCAATACAAAATACTTGATGAGATATAAAATCTTAAAGGATTTATGAAGATGATGTATGAAACAACTTAAGAAGTAAATATATTTTGAAAAAAAAAACAAAAAAAAATAAAACATTTGAAACATTTTGAGAAAACCTTTTATACTGATAGTTTTTCTATTTCTGAAATTAAATTATGTTTGTTTTTTTTTGTTTTTTGTTTTTTATCAGCAGTATTATTTTATTTTTTTAGCATTGTCAACAATTACTGATAATTTTGGTTTAATATTTTGGTTTAATATTTTGACCAATACATTATTTAGCTTTTCACATTGAGTATGTCACACTAGTTAATCTTTAGAAAGTGCAAAGTACGTTTCTTTTGTTTGCTCATCTCAGTGAAAACACAAGAGTTTAATAACAACTGCATCAAATACCAAGTCGTGCAAAAGAAAGAGAACTTTGGAAACACATAGGTCTTATCAGAGAAATAGTTTCATATTGACATTTGATATCTTCTATGTGCTGCATCACTTCAGGACATAGGCAATCATGGCTCTTCACAACTTCTTCTTATGGCCCTTAGCAATTTTTCTTTCTTTACTAAGACTCCTTTTACTCTCATTCTCCCATCCATTTAAACAAACTACCTTCTTCTATCACTCATACCCTCAATATACCCCGTGAGGGTTAAGTTTTCCAAGCCCTCCTTTTAGCTTTCTTTTCCTGATTCTGAGTATAAGTGTTCTTTCTGTTGCCATTTTCTTTAAGATTTACTTGTTACTTACTCTCTCCGTCCATGGAATCTTCAGTATCTTTATGAAGACCTACGTTTCTGCTGCTTTTAGTTTTTTTTTTCTCAGAGAAATTGTCCACCATTCATTGCCATATAAGAAGATAGATACCATATAGCAATCCAGGAGGCTTTTCTTTATTTATAATGATTTTTCCATTTCTTCTCACCTTGCTTAACTTTTGTTATACATCTTTCATTAGTCCAATTCGTGTTTGGATCTCGGTGCCACATTTTCCATCCTATGTTAAAACACTTCCCAGATATTAGAACTTCAGCACTAGCATTATGTTTAAAAGTCAGAATTTCGAAAACTTCGGCAGTTCGTTCTAACTTGAGAAACTGTTGCAAAATAATACTTATATGTCTTCTGCAGTCAGTATGTTCATGTACGTGTAGATATATGTGCAAGGTATATCTATCCTTCTATTTTTAACTGGGTGTTTTTTGTTTTTGTTTTAAATCTTACGTTATTTACGAAACACTCAGCCGCCATTACATACACGCTATCGTCGACTTTAGTTGAAACCATAGTCCAAAATTTCCCGACGTAGTTAAAAGTGAACGCCATAATACTTTTCAAGGCTGTATGGTATGCGCCGTGCCAGGGATACATACGATTTTGAATTCAGAGTTTTCCTTCTCCAAGACTGGCTCAGTCTCAGCAGAGAAGAGGTGGATACATACTAAGGGTGTCTGTTAGAAACTAAACGTAACGAACCTGACTGCATTTTCCCCACCGACGTAAAGTTGACCATTGTGCCATTACTATAAATACATCTATGGTACCTGTAACTCTTCGCTAGGGTACCTAGACTTTAATGATTCAATCGCAGTACTAGGTTGGGAACGAGTCCTCAGCAATTTATTTGGGTGAACGTAGCCATAAGTTCCATGCTAACAGGTTTTTTTTCCCGGCACTTCTCGCTTGTGGAATTCCTTTCCGGCTTCATGCTTTCACTGTAATCTTCACAAATTTAAATGCAATGTCAATCGCTATATGCTGTCTTCTTGATTATCCTTCTTCTGTTTGGGCCTTAGTATTGTTTCTGTTCCCTAATTCTTCTACAAACAGTTAACCCTTGTGATTTACTGCATATCCAAGTAGAAATATTGTATAAATATTGCAAAATGTTAACGCTAAGCATGTACAGGTATAGTAATGAGCACTGGTGCGGTTAATAGAATGCTGACCGAGTCGGTTGAATTCATTTCGCACTTATGCTCTTTGGTAAGACATGAATTCACCCGTTGCCCTCAGATATATGTTAAATAAACGGGTGTTGTGTGTCAGCCAGTTTTAAAACGGAATACTTTGAATTCAAAACCGTGGAGGGCTTAAGGCCATATCATATGTAAACACCTGTTCCCGACCGATCACCGAAGTTAAGAAACGTCGGGTCTGGTCAGTACCTGGATGGGTGACCGCTTGAGGCTTCCAAGTGCTGTGAACTAGGATGTGCGGGATGGGGGTGTAATGGATATCATCTCGGAGTGAGAAATCGGAGAGACAATGTGGAATTTCAATCGTGTTTGTTTCATTCACTTACGCGTAGGTATTTGTTATATGGGAATGAAGTGTCGCTGCTGACACTTGAGTTTGAACATAGACCGCCACTGAGCAAACACAGGCGATCCCATAATTGAATTAAGTAGATCACGTGACCAGAGTGGAACCGCATATGTGGGAGGTAGCGTGATATCTAATTGATCGCCATTTCTAGCGTATATACTAGACAGATCGCTATTTCTACTCTTATCCTCTGCTACCATACGGATCACTATTCTCTACTCTATTCACTATATATTCTACTATTCGGATCACTATACGGGTTACTCGTCGAGCGAGTATTATCGCGCAAATACTATTAGTGCGAGTGTTATTCGAAGGCGTCTGACATCAGTATTGTTCAACGGCGTTACTATAGTTGTATCTGCGATTACAAAGATTCTACTACAACGAGCATTACGAAAGTGACAATGAGTATTCGTTCACATCACAAAAGTGGCAACGAGTGTTCGTTGACATCACAAATTTATTAATCTACCTGTTCTTACCCTCAGCTATGGGTTAAATAGCAGGATTTCTATCTGAAAATTATTATTATGTCCAAAACATTTTAATACCATATTCACTCGCAAAAGAAAATAATTATTCTTACAAAGTTGTCTCCTTGTGCATTTTCTATAAATACGTTAATGGTAACTGTTCAGGTGAACTATTCGCTAGGGTATATTTACCCTGGTTTCCCCACTGGGACTGGATGTGACATAAGGTGGGGAAACCGAACGCGTACACCCGGGCCAGGGATAAAAATTGTCGTCGGTTGCGCTGTCATCGGTAGTGAATACCGATACCCCTCTTTAGTGCAATGAGGGGATGTAGCCTCGGTCAGCTTTCCCCCGGGATGGGGCACCTCTTAATCTTTATTTTCCTCGACTATGTCTCTGTCCGCTGACAGAGCCATAACTGTGTCGCATTTTGCCCGAAGACAGAGACTCAACTTAGAGTTGATAAAACCTACCCGGCATGTTCCAAGTAAGCTAGGGTAGCTCGACTTTATGAATTTAAGCAGAGTCCTAGACTAGCGACGTGGTCTCATAAATTTATTGTTGAGTTGAATAGATAAGCATAAATTCTATGCTAACATATTTTTTCTCGCACTTCACGCTTGTGGAACTCTCTTCTGGCTTCATGCTGTGCAGCCAACTTTAATCTTCAAAAATTCAAATGCAAAGTCAATCTGTATCTTCTGATTCACTTCTTTTGTTTTCGCTCCTTAGCAATGTTTCTGTTTTCTAATTTTTCTGTAGCCAGTAACCCCTTGCGTCTTAGTGACTTTATTGCCTTTTTTGGGGTGAACTTTATTGAAAAAAAAATATTTCGACTTTTAATAATTTACAAAAGGTTGATAAGCGTAAAAAAACAAATCAATCAAAACCATTGAGAAGGCAAATGGAAGTCACTCAACTCTATTTTTTAAGAAGGCAAGGAAAATCAAGTTAAATAATCTATCGTTGACAGCATCCGTTTGCCTCCGAACATTTGGATCGCCATCATTTCTTCCAATTTTCGTTCTCCCCTCGTCCCTGGTGGCGTTGGCAGAGATGGCTGTGAAGGCCCAGCCTACGCCGGAAGAGCCGCGAGCAGAAGTCACACAGGAGTGTAGGTAGTGGACGCGGTTGAGAGAGTCAGACCCTCATGACAGTACGTCGTAGATCCTCTTCATGTTGACGGTTGGACTCGAAAGTCTCGGTCAACCCGCGGATAGTCCTACGCTTGGAAGGCTGACTTGCAGCAATGGTTTCGATGTTAGCCTGTGCTATGGATGTCTTCAACTAATCCTTGAAGCGTTGTTTTGGGCCTCAGCATAGCCTCTTGCCACTGACGAGATCTCCAAACAAGATGATACGTGAGAATCGTTAGGACATAGCATAACAAATTTCAACCAAGTTTCTATTTTTGTTTAATTTTTTTGTTTACGTTGTTTCATTTTTTATGACCTTCCTTACACTATTTCCCTTTTATTTCGCTTTTTTCTTTTTCCTTTTATTTTGCTTCTTTCCTTTTCCTTTTCTTTCGTTTCTTTCTTTGTCATTTCATTTTCTTTCTATCTTTTTCATTTTCTTTCGTTTCTTTCTTTTTCATTTTATTTTATTTCTTTTTTCATTTTATTTTGTTTCTTTCTTTTTCATTTTATTTTGTTTCTTTTTTCATTTTATTTTGCTTCTTTCTTTTTCATTTTATTTTGTTTCTTTTTTATTTTATTTTGCTTCTTTCTTTTTCATTTTATTTTGTTTCTTTCTTTTTCATTTTATTTTGCTTCATTCTTTTTCCTTT